GAGAGAGAGAGAGAGAGAGAGAGAGAGAGAGAAGAAATACTGCCTTTTACCATGCCAGCTCTATGCACCTCATATGTCGGCTATTTGAATAGTACACACCTCTCTCTAGTTAACATTCTGATGACTCTGCATGTGCTACAATCTGTTCTAAGAGCTCAGACGGTATGATTTCAAAGTCTGCAGTAGCCCCATGGGGCAGTACTGTTGTCTTCATTTTATAGATAAGCAAGCTGCAGCTCTGAGGCACGGAATGATCTGCTCAAGGTCACCAAGCCAGGAGGCAGAAGAGCTGGGATCCAAACCCACATACCATCCACACAGTCGGTGTCACAGTGACAGGACACTGGTATTATTATTAACAGTTTTTGAAGGACGGAAGGTGGTTTGAGACAGGTCTCATGTAGCCCAGGATGGCTTCAAACCTGCTGTGCATAGTGGAAGATGACCTTGAACTCCTGATCCTTCTGCCTCTACCTCCCAAGTGTTAGGATTATAGGCATGTGCCATTGCAGCTGGCTTTTCAATTACAGTAAGTGAAATGGTGTCCTGATAAGGAAATAGAACAGCAGCATGCCTTGCTAATCACAAAAGTAAATAACAGAACAGGCAAATAGGCCTGGATATAGTCATATGCCAGTTCGCCTTATAGGGAATATGGTAAGCGCCAGCAGTAAGGCAAAGACAAACTAGCTCCAAAGGAAGATACCTTCCCTAGGAGAAGCAGAGGCCTCAGAAATGAGAAAGGCCCTACCATCAGTGCCTATGTCCCATACACCTATTTCTCTGACTTTATAACCACAATACACAAGAATTATAGATCCATTTTATAGATGAGAAAAATCAAGGCTCATAAAGGTTAACTTCTCCAATGACCTCCAGCTATAGAGCTGCAGAGCCAGAATCTGTCAACTCCCAAATCTAAGTGCTTCTTCAAATAGCAGCACCTCACCTGGAAGCCAACCTAGTTCCATATTTAGAGTTTGTTAAAAGTATGCATAAATGGGGCAGTGGCACATACAATAATTCCAGCACTTGGGAGGTAAAGGCAGGAGAAAAAAAAAAAGGTATATACATGCTACTGGGCAAGGAGTGCACACCTGTGGTCCCAGCTACATGGGAAAGGCAGGAGAATCTCTTGAACCCAGAAACTTAAGGCCAGCCTAAGATCCCATCTTTAGAAAGAAGAAAAAAAGTATATCCATCCATTCAAAGGAACCTGTCTATAAATGAGCAAAGACACAAGGAAATGTATTTTAATCAGGATTTTGATTGAAGTGTTATCTTCCCAGACTCTGAATAATGCTCAGACATCAGTTTGTCATTTTAAAAGAAGTTCTAGAATAAACTTTTCCATTATCTTGATATGGATTATCTATCTTATGAATTTACCCCCAGAGTCACCAGTTATATTCTGGGGAGGGACACTGTCTCTTGCCAACAAGCAGGATGTGCTCAAAGAACACAGATTAATTTCAATAATGTTCAAAACAAAGCCCATTTAAGAGTTGAATTAGCATCCAAATCCAAACATTCATTTTTATTTACCCACTTTGGATTATTCAACCACAAAAATGAAAGATAAATTGAGATATGATTCTACTCTCCAGGAAAACCAGATAGCATACTGCAGAGCTGGAAATGGGGCATTCTGAGCGCACACAGCTTGACGGATGCATCTATCAGAGCCCGTACAGGATGCTATGTGATAGAATACAGCCCAGAGCACCCCCCTCATCCTCTCCTTTAGAATTCCAAAATGAAGCGACTTCTTTCCACCTATCACTACCTACTTCCACTGAGTTTTAGAGTGTGGCACACAGTGATTAAGCTGTCAGACATAGAAACTGAAAACAAACTCACAGCAAACACTTGTGTTCTAAGGACAGACATTCACACAGATGGCTATGGCAAGCCCTCCATAATCTCCAAATGGACTTTAATGCTCAGAACAACTTGTAGAACAGAGGAAAGTGACACAAGGGGTCCAGGGTGGTCAGAGTAGTCTGGAGGCCAGAGCAGCTGTCTCATCTGCCTTGTTGCCTGATATGTATGCTGGGGAATTCTGGTCTTCTAGATTCAAACAATATCATGAATATAAAGTTCCTTCAGAACTGGGCTTGCAGCTCAGTGGTAGAGCCCTTGCCTAGTATATGTGGGTACCCTGGGCTACACCATTGCAAGGGGGAGGAAGGAAGGAAGGAAGGAAGGGAGGGAGGGAGGGAGGGAGGAGGGAGGGAGTTAGGAAAGAAAGAGTGAGAGAGAAAGGAAGGAAGGAAGGAAGGAAGGAAGGAAGGAAGGAAGGAAGGAAGGAAGGAAAACAAAAAGAGGTTCCTTTCTGGAGTAAACAAAACAGCACACCAAACAGGACAGCCACTCTTCTTTCCCCAGTGTACATCCCAAAGAAAACCACAAAGACAAAAGCTAATTTTGAGAACAAATTCAAGTACTTTCCAAGAGAATCTGCTTTTCTTGATGGTCAGATGGTCGGGTGGGGTGCAGGGTACAGGGAAATGCAACCATACAACAAGGGCTGGAAATCACCTAAAGGTCCAAGGATGAGAGGGGTTACATAACTTTTGTTTGCCCATTGCTAGAGTAGGAATCCATGCAGATGTGAATGGCTACAGTCCAGGCTGGGGAGATGGCTCAGTGGGTAATGTGCTCTCTGAGCTGCTGTCTGACTTTCATGACCCCTACTTCAGGCCGGGATAAGCTGGACATAGAGCTCAAAGTCAAGTGGGAACTGTATCCTTCCTGGTGGGTGCTAAATCCTGGCTCTACTGCTTACCACCATCCCCTCTGAGGGCCTCAGTTTCCACACCCACCAATGGGCATTACATCGACAGCTCTCTTGAGGGCTACTGAGAGGTGCAAGAGACAGCCACAACCTCTGTCACTCCTTCCTGAGAGTACCTCTCCCCTAGTACTCAGTGAGCACTTGAAAGGGTGCCACACTGTTCTGAGTACTTTGCATACCTTGTGAAGTAGCTTGCCTATAGTCACCCCACACTGTCACAGGCAGAGGCAAGATTCAAATCCAGGAAGCCTGGCCCCAGCGCCTGTGTGCATAGCCATTCTGAGCACTGTTCGGACTTCCACTGCTTTCTGTAGTACTTGCTGTACTACCCAATGCTGGGTCAGCCTCCCGAAGGACTGAGGGAAAGACTGAGCTATGAGCTGAGTATGGTAGTGCACAACTGTAATACCACACATGGGAGGCTGAGGTAGGGGGACTGTGCATTCAAGGTCAGCCTGGACTACACAGGGAGACCCTGTCTATAAACAAACAAACAAACAAACAACCTCAGTCACATGTAAGTCTTGCTAAAGGGAGAAGGAAGCAACCTGTGGAACTAAGGCTGGGTTTTGTTTTGTTTTGTTTTTTTTTGTTTTATTGGCAGAGCTGGGGATGGAACTCAAGTCCTCATATATGCCATGAATGTGCTTGACCATCGAGCTAGTGAATTAATGCACTTTCTACTGGCTGTGAGAGGACACTGGGCAATAGCTGTGGTGGGGCAAGCCTATTCTCATTCCAGAATGAGGTGATCAGCAAGCAGACATCAGATGGCATAAACACTGGGGTGGTGGATGGGTACCCACATTCCAAATGAGCCAAGCCATTGTGCAACATGGGGCTGCTGAAACCACACCCAAACACCCATCCAGAATGCATGATCCTCACCACACTAAGGAGGTGATTTGAAAATGCTGTGGAATTTAATGGGGAAAATAAAACCTATCAAGTAGGGAACTCAAAGAGTCACATCCATTAACATCAGGGACAAGGTACCACAGGTACAGGGATCTAAACTGAGGAAACGCCACACACCTGGAAACAGAACAGACTCTCAGAGCTCATGAGTCCACTCTGGGATGCACACTTAGCACCTGTGTTCTCAGAAGGCAGCAGGTAACATCAAGACAGTGCTGCACCACTTCCAGGACACAACTTGGACCTATGACCACGACTATA